ATGCTCATTTGTATTTCATTATCATTTATCAAGTTTTATTCGTAGGATAAGCGTTTTTTTTTTTTTTTTTCACTAAAGTCATAATTCTCATTTTTCGTGACTAATGATATTTCTGCTTTTCAATGATCAATTTTGTCTTCGTTTCCATCTCCCCTTATTCATACCCACTTTGCTAGAGAATCTGATTAACTTCATCACTTTGAACAGCTGCTATTTTATCGCACGGGTTCTCTCGCTAACGATGCAATGGCTAACATTTGGATTCCATTCCATTCTGAGACCCACTTTATTCTGAGATCCGCTTATCTTTGTGCATGCGATTGAATAAATCGGTCCATTTCACTCTCTGCTTCCCTCGTATTCAATGCAAAAATTTGCGGCACAAAAATTTGAATATGCAAAGCGTCACATTTAAATTTGTGAAGCGTTAATGCAGCAGTAGCTGGTTTCTGTTTCATTGTTTGAGCAGCGATGTCGCTGCGTGGCTGCCTTCGTAGTCTGTTCTTCAAGGAAAGCGACAAGAGGCTTGTGATGCAGCAGGTTTTTTGTTTCGCAGACCAAGTGTATCCTAGTTTTGCATGTTAATTTATTTTGGTTTTTTTATAGCATCAAATTGCGGAGCTGTCTGAGGAACTGGAGCTGATGAAGAAGGAGAAAGTGTCGATTGTTGAGAGGCTACGCGAACGCGAAAAAACACTTGCCGATACGAAGACAGCGCTTTCGAATTTACAAAATGTTCTACGAGATATCGGCATTGACCATCAAGCGCAAGTTGCCGAATACGAAAACAGCATTGCTGAGCTGAAACAAACAATCGAAGTCAGCCCATGCAATTTTTTCTCTGAATTCACTCCATTGTTCACGCTCTTTCGCTGCTTTTGTTTCTTGAACAACGATCACTGGCTGAGCTACATCAAAGATTTCTCCTGCATTAACTTATTTAAGTAATTTTCAGCATTTGGGCTCGGAAATATTACAACTAAGAAAGGTTCAAGACTCTCTTGAAGCCGAGAAGCAGTCATTAGAGGATGGCACTATACATTTGAGGGAAGAAATCAAAAGAAAGGATACCGTGAGTTCTCACCTCTTGTGACTGAATTTTATTGAAAACATGCTGCTGTATTAACGAAGCTGAGATGTATAGGCTCAGAGGATTTTAAAATGGTGCTCGTGGTACTGTTCTCCCCATTGTTTTAACGTATCTCTGATACCAGAAAGAGCGTGTTCTGTTGCTAGGTGATTGAGGAGCTGGAAACGAACTTGGATGAGCATACGCATATGGCGGAAGCATCATCATCAAAGGCCATCGATGCGCAAGTACTGCGACAGTTG